AATTCAAGAGAAACATGGAAATTAAAGCCTGTCTTAATTTTACTAACAAGATGAGGATGAGAGAGAGGACAAAAATGGAATTTTATGGTGGTGTTAAGTGAATCAGTGATAAACTATAAATCTGTTTTGACTTTGACAATTTAGGATCCATGACCATAATACAGAGTTGTTATTTATTTCATGCAGTAGACTTCTCTGTTTTTTATAGCGTGTGTTTTTTACATGGCAGAATGGAAGAATTCCATAGCTTTATGTTTCTGATCCATAAACTGTGAAATTTCAAAGGTTATGTTTCATGATATGAGTTTCAGAATGTAGACTTGACATTTCAGTAACAAAAAGAAATCTGGGACAGTGTTGCTTAATGCAACCAACTGTTACATATCTTTGTTGTTAATAACTTAATTTTTAACATTCTCAGCGTGTCATGCATTTAAGCTCAAATGAAAGTGATTTTCTGCATTAATGGTTTGTTTGTATGCTGCATTTTTTTCTTTATGAGTTGAAAAGATGTGGGAAAGAACAATGAAAAAAAAATTCCTCAGCAGCATTAAATGAGAGCATAATGCTTGACATTTTACTTCTGGGACTCTTTGAGGGATGTATTTTTCCCCTCTCCCCACTTACCTTTTAGACTAAGTTTCCTTTCACTCCTGCATCAAGGAATGCTTATTTTTGTTTGTTTTTATTTAATAGAGTCTACTACCTTGTCATTTAGTTGAAGAAGTCTTTCCTATGTCAAAAGCAACTACTTATATGAAAAGATTGTTCTTAAGAATATATAACGGCATTCATGAATCCTTCAACACGCTGCTACACTCCAGCAAGGGCATCAACTCCCTAAAAAAGAGGAGACCTGTTCTTGTGAACTACATATGAAAAACAGATTAGAAGATCAGTGTTAGCTGCATTTACGTTTTTTTGTTAGTTGCATTATGTTTTTCTTTTGGCACGTATCTTTTGAGTTTCTTTTTTTATGTTATTTTGAGCTCTTTGGATGAAAATAGATTGACAGGTTACTTAAAGTTTTTGGCAATAAAAATAATTTTATTAAACAAATTAATTATACCAAGCCCTGTATAATGACCGTGGCAGTGTTATTCAACAGATGGTCACAGGTTCTGTTTTATGAATGGGAATATTGGGAATTCTCCATACTCGTTATGTGCAAGAGATTCACAGATGTCCTTTGCAAATCTGCTTGTGAAAGGCTGTATGTAAGTACTATATTTTGGTGGTGATTTTAATAGAGATTTTAATGTTTAACTTGTATACCACATGAACCTTCATTTTCTTTCTCTCCTTTTTTTATTTATGTGCTGTAGAGATAGGATGACAGTAATGTTTTACAGATTGCTGTAACAGTTCTCAGTTCTAGGAATTTACAACTTGCAGCTTTTTTTAACTGAGGCATTTAGCACAAAATGACTGAATACATTTGAATTGTAAACATAGACCTTCATTTCATTAAAGAAAAATATGTATTATATAAGCTATCATACATGCTGTATATGTTACCCTCTTACTTTCTGTAGTAAAAATGACACCTTATCATTTGGTAGAGCCATTGGCTCTTTCTTGCAGATCCAGAGATTGTATATCTCTAAATATGGATGAGATGCAATGGGCTGTGTCAGTAGAAGATGCCAATATCATTTGTGTTAGTTACTGTTTCTGTTTCTACAATGAGTTCTGGAACCATTTTTCTTTGGAATAAGTTATAAAATTTCTCATTCTCTTCAGTGGTAGTTACAAATTTTACTTGTCTACTTTGTGTTTATTCCCTTCACCAGAAGAGCTAAAACTGAAGATTTATCTGATTAAGGTGACAAGGAAAGCACTAAATTAGCTTGGTACACTGAAGGCTCAATATAGCAAAGCATTTGGTGTATATTTCACTCTGAGTAATCCCATTGACTTCCAAGCTAAGTAGAATTAATCTTGGGATACAAGATTCTTGTCTTATCCTACAGTAGTCTTGTATCCTAAAATTAATATCCCTCAGGCGAAGTGTAGAGCTGTTATATATTTTGTCCTCAGCAGAGACTGCATGCAGTGTCCTTGGTTTATACTTAACTCCTTCTGGTGTTTGGTTTTACTAGTAACTAGGCTTCAATCTGCAGTTTCTCCCTAGGCTTAGTTTGCTCCTAGTATTGTCATACAAACCTTGCCTATCCTCAATTTTAGGCTCTGCAGCTTTAAATTCAAAGTAGAAATATAGAAAAAAAAAAATGTTGTGATTAGCTGGGAATAATTTCTTCCACAAAACAGGATGACTGAGCAAAATCTCAGCCACATCTTAACCATACATGTCAAATGTGAAATTATTTACCTGATACCTTACTGCATTCCCCTCCTACTTCATAGCTTCCCTTAGGCAAATGGAAAGAGAGGCACTGTTAGTGTGTTATGTGGGCACTGCATGATTCATTTGCATTTTGTGGTAAAGCTTAGATTCATATTTTGGTGTTTGCTTAGTTTTAGGGTTTGGGTTTTGTTTTTTTTTCCATTTTACAACATGACTTTTGGCTGTCCACACATATGCATCTTTATTATCAGCTTGAGTTGCCCTATACAGCCCCATCTGGTGATCCATCCCTTGTGTTGTGAGACTGGAGGAGGGACTGCCAGTGAAAGAAAGAATGTTAGAGGGAGAAGGAAATACTGAAAAACAAATATGCATCTAGGGAAGTGCTTCTTTTAAGGTTTTGCTTTGTTCTCACCTGTGGAGGCACTTAGCCTCTAGCTCATGAGTGTGCTGTGCAGTACTGCTGGTAGCAGTGTCCACCAGATCCTACTCAGTGCCTTTGTGGCACTGAGGGTTTGGCTGGGACATGCTGGGATGGGCACTCCTGTTCCATACAAACATGTGAGCATAGCATGCCCCGTGCTGGCCAAAACAAGGTAAGTGAGTAGCCTGCTTGGCAAAGATTGGGTACTGCTGCCCTTGCTCTGGCAGCTAGCATGTTGCCTGCAGCCTACAAACACTGATCACCTGACATGGGTGCTTCACCATGTCCTGTCACCTCTCCTTTGTGTGGCCATTGTGTCTAAAGCATGGATAATTGTATGAGAGGCTTTAAGAGAATCTACCTTTGTCATGGCAGTTATATAAACACTAAAATAATACTTTTATAAGGTGCTGGAAACAAGGTCATGAGCCCTGGTAAAGGTGGAAATCGTCATGAAAACTGGAGGAGAATGTGGGACTTTTTTCTATTCATATTTATTTGTCTAGGGAGGATACTACTGAGGTTGGATGTTTTCTCTTTGCTTTTCATTGTGTAAATAAGGCTCTGGGGCAGAATAGTACAATGACTGGGTCTTGGTTATGTCATTTGTTATGACAGTAGTTGGCTGTCTTTTCACTTAACTTTTAGTGGACTATTTGTTATGATCTGAGTGGCATCACTCTCAAATGAGGGTCACCTGTTTTGATACCTGGGTTGGCAGGACTGTGCACTGAGGAATAAGTTTTGGAATTTTGGGGTACTTTTTGAGACATTTTTATATTTTGTAGTTTTCTATCCACGAGTATGACTGTCTTTGCCCATTACAAGTATGAATTTTGTGTCTTTCTGTAGGCCGTTCTTCATTGCTTTCTGTTTGTGTCCTTGGTTCAGTGCAGATCTGACCAGGTTCTTCTCTTTGTTTGATTTTGGGTGTTGTAATTCACTTTTTATTGGACAGTGCTCATGTGTCTTTAAAGAGCTGTACTATAAAAGGGGTTAATCGATGAAATAGCTTTTATGTGGCTTGGTGTATTTTATGTTGTATAGTGTGTTATTTAGAAGAGTGGAATGATATTGATTTCTTTTTCTCAGGAATCTTTTTTTTTTTCTCTTTTTGATTTAGCTATGTGAACATTTTGGAACGATATTGCGGATTAATTGAAGTTACAGATTTAATCCTTATAAGTCTTTAATCATTCATGCTTATAAAACTATAAGACTAATTCATATCAAATATGTATCTTATTGACATAGTATTACTTTAATAAATCTCTCCCAAGATCATAATACAAATTACATGTATAAAAAGAGAGTGCACAGTAAGATTGTGCAGGAAAATAGACAGGAGAATAGAAGGGATCCGTATTAAGCCCAGCCCATCCTGATTAATTCCAGAATTTTAACGCTTGCAAATGTATTAATGTGCAAGCATTCATATTTGTACATTTTAAGATCTTTTGAATCAAGTATCATTTTCCACATAAAACAATCTGTCAGGTATTTGCTATTACAAACCTTTAAATATTTGGTATTGCATTATCAACCCTGTGCTCGATCCATTTATGAAACACAAAGCACTTCCATTTGTAGAGATTTATTCTTGTATCATTTTTCCTGAGATTTGCCAGAACATCATCATGTTCGTGTTCTGAAGGTTAATGCCCAAAGTCAAGCAGGCAGAAGCCAAGTGCTGCAAGGTTTCCAAGATTAGGACTGATTCCCTTCACAAAAATAAATGATTCCTGCCATGTTCAGTGATTTTGTGCAGCACTACTCACGGCTGAGTGAGTGCATCAATACTGTAGTCCTTACATGCTGTACATACTGATGACACTCTGTGTTAACTTGATTGACTGAGCAGTGTACTGGAGAGGATGCACCTGCGAGAGATGTGCAGACATATATATTTTTATTCTTGTTTTGAAACATTTATTTCACGTTTTTTTTACTTGGAATTCTTAGTTTCACATTCCATGGGTTATCATGTTGTGCTGTTAAGGTAGAGCAAGCAATTATGTGCTTCTTTGTTGTCAAAGTTGTAATGGAAAATGATCTGAGGTGCATCTTTCTCTTTATAACCAAAAGCCTGATTTTATATTTTAAAGGAAAATGACATAAAGGGGACAAATGTGAAATCTGGCAATTCAGTAACTATGTAAATTAAGCTTATTTTATGAGATTCAGTATAATGGTAGAGAAATGTCTCGTGATTCGCTTATGAGCAGTATTTTTTTGTTACATTTTTCTGTTTTGTTATCATTTTTATAGGCTTTAAGACAACAGCAGAAAAGAAGAAATGGAGTCTCAATGATGGTAAACAAGACTGTTCCTCGTGTTGTTTTGACACCATTAAAGGTGTCTGATGAGCAGTCGGATTCACCTTCAGGTAAATAGCTAAAGGACTGTTTGCAAGATCAGTGCTAGTCACAGAGCCTTCCTCTGAGTCAGATGTGTAGCATACAGAATGGGAGCCTGCTGAAAAAAATTTTGTCACTTGAAGGCTTTGTTTAACGTCTTTATTTCCTTATCAAATCTGTGACTCAAGGACGGAGATTTTTCTTTAATTTTAATAAAGAGCTGAAGGCACACAGTAAAATGGCAATTAATAATAGCAGCAGCTTTAAAGGAATGCAAAGTAACGTTTTGTTTGGCTCTGGAACTCTAATGGAGGACCACATGCTGGTATTCAAGTCCATGAAAAGGAGAGGGGAAAAGAAAGGCAAGCTTCTCTGTGAATGTGAATTTGTGTCAATTCTGCATTGCAATCCTAGGATCCTTTTGTTAGCTTTTCTTGTTCTGGTGCTGTTCTTAGCACCACAGCGTTACCTTGACCTTTAGCTCCGATTAAGTTTCTTCATTTTAAGAGATTTTTATGTCTGTGTTTAACAGAAACTGACAATTGTATTTCCAAGCATCTCCACTCTGTAAGTGTTACTTCACAGAAAAATGATCTTTTTTCGCCTTTAGATTGCATTACTCCTCCATAGCTTGAGGTTAAAATATTTTTAAAGATATCCCTTGTGTGTTATAGGAAAACGTTATTTTTATTAGATCGGTGAACATTTTTATTGACTATAATGTTCAATAAACTTTAGTTTTCAGCGCTTAATTGACTTATTGATCTTTTTCTTCCATTTCCTCTGATGATGAGAAATCGTATTGTGACCAGAAAGGTGCACTGCCTCTCAGCAAGTAGATGTCAGTTTTCTTTAATCCCATTTTTGCTGTGTTTACAGTGTAGCAAGGGGACAAAGAGGAGGGAGAGCTGGTGATACAAGTGCATCAGTATCATGCTTTTTGTTTTGTTTTTTTTTCCTAAGGATCTGAATCTAAAAATGGTGAAGCAGATGGTTCTGATAAAGAGATGAAACATGGACAAAAATCTCCAACTGGAAAACAAACAAGCCAGCACTTAAAGAGGTTAAAAAAATCTGGTTTAGGTGAGTGAGAGTAAAATAAGTATATTTATTTGTTATTGTACTATTGAGATGTTTAGAATCTCTATGCTGTATTTAAAAGTTTTGTGTTGCTGATTTACCAGTCTCAAAATCAGAAGTTGACCTTTTCTCAAGAAAGTATCTTTTTTTTCTGGCTGTTTTGAAAATCCACGGGCGATTATTTTTCCCCAAGAATGCTTTTCTGTACTTGCTTTTTAAATTTGACAGACCTAAGCAAGTGCAGACAGAGGTCATTTAGCAGCTTGCTTCTGATTGCTGCATTATGATTTTTGGGCGGGTGGTAAGGGGTGGAGTAGCAGATATTCTTTCTTACTGTTAAGCTTGCTTGCAGTCTTAATGCATGCTTAATCCCAAAGAGAATAGTGTATTTTCTTACATGTCTGTTCTATTCTAAGTTAACTTTGTCCTTCATTTGCATTATTCCATGTCATGTAGAGGTTTGGCACATCATTTCTGATTGATTCTGTTTCTTTCACTGATTTGTTTCTTCAGTTGGATCCTTAATTATTTTTGAAGCTACATCTCTTGAGGTGGTAGATACAGTTTCTGTTTTTTTTTTGTTTTCCATGTTATTTACCAAGATTCGTGAATGCTGATCTGTAATTAATGAAGAATTTTCTCTGAAGATATGCTAAGAATGAAGTCCCAATAGCTCCATGTGATGGGGAAATTTTTTCTGCACTGCACAAAACATAATTGGAAATGTTCCCTAAGGAACAGAAAAAGTACTATTCACTAAGACTCTTGTCTCCTATAAAGCAAAGTAGAATAATTACATAACTGTTTCTTTATAGAGGACCTTTTGCATTCAGCAGACTGCTGAATCATTTAGAGAAAAATTTTGCAATGTGGCCGCATTGGAAATGTTTGCAAACAAGCTTTTCATAATGGCTGGATAATCCCCAAAATTATTTAATGCCTGTTTCCATGATTATAGGATTGTTTTTCTTTATGAATGGCCTCATCTATTTTCTTATATAACAATTCTGCAAAATAACTTGAAGATACTTGCTCAATATTAGAGGTTACTTGTTAAATAAACTGTTACCAGTTTCTGGTGAGCTCCTTTATACAAACCTCATTGTATCACAGACTTCCAGGAAATTGTATTTTGATTTCATATATAATCTTCTGGCAGAATATTTATTGATCTTAGATGGATATGTAGTGTCTCTGTTAATCAAATGGTGTTATTCAAAACTTATAATACTCCTTCAGTATTACAGTTTTTGCTGTGCAAAGATATGTTCTATTTCTGATGATTTCATCTAACTTTTCTCTAGCTGTGAGACTGAGATGTGATTTGATGCATCCATTCCTCCCTATCCCTAGATATTTCATCAATATGGCCTCTGGTACCAAACATAGAATGAATTCATTAGATTTTTTTTGTAGCTTTCAGAATAAATTCTGCAGCCCTTTGAGACACCATCCTTGGAACATGGGAGATATTGTATAAAGATTAAGGTTTTCTGTGATTTCTGTCCTTCTTATTTGACTCCCATACTTCACTGTAGAAACATATATTTTCCACCCTTTACATAGGTAATGCTTTATGTTGAAGACTGTAAGTTTGTCTTTTCTCTCTCCAGGTTCTATTTCTGATCTGGCCAGAGGTACGCCCAAACTGTGGTAGCAGCTACATAAGGATTTCTGTGGAAAAACAATATGAAAAACATTGACATATGCTCTGTTATAAACTCCTGTCTCTCAGAGTTATGAGTAGCTATGCAGTAGAGGTGTACAGTCAAATTCCACAGAGTTGCTACTTTCCCTGCTATTCTGAAATATTTTTCGAAATCTGACTAGAAACTTGAAACCTGCAGCAATGGTCCTAAAGCTAGGAGGAATACAGGAGAGAAGATTTGTTGTCTTTTTGAACCGATCTCTCTTTTTTATTTTCCATGGCTATGTTGGCCACTCACAGAGATCTAGTGTGTTTCTTCCTCGTGTTGATAAAGCAGCCATAGTAACCTGTAATGATAACAGGTTAAATAATTGGAAAATGTGTAACTCAAACACACAGAATTAGGCCTGAGTTTCTGGCTTGGTCTCTTCTCACTATTAAAATACCTATCAATGTTGGATGTTACTGACTTTGCAATCATATCTTTTGTTTTGGTTTGGATCACCTATATGTGTATGGCTTTCTGTAGAATCTGTAGCATCAACTGGGGAAAATGTTACTTCATTTTGGAGTTACTTAGAAGATAGAGATGTGTATGCTTTATTGATTAAAGAAAGGAATATATGTGCAAGCATTGCATTTGGATACATCATACTACTTGTGCTACACTTGGAGATTGCGTTCTTTTTGCATTCATATTTTGTGGGTGGAACAGATGGTGAGGACAGTTTACTGTGATGCATTCATGAAAATGAGCACTTCTTCCACACAATTGTCTTTTATAACAGGGCATTCATTTGTTCATAGTGGAGATTTTGCTGTGCTGAGATACAGTATGTTAGAAATGAGTTGGAAAAGGATATGTACTGAATGCAAAGTAATGCTTGTCTCATTCAGTTACTGTTGTTTGCTAAAAAGTAAAAGGAAATTACAAGAATGTTTGTGGGAGGCTGTGACTGAAGGGGAGCTTGCAGAATTTACAAATCTATTGCAGTTTCTTTCATTTCTACACTTTGTGGGTGATGCTATAACCTTTCAGGATAAACGGTCATAGTCTTCCAAGAAATCTAAAGCATAACTGCATTGCTTTTATTAACGTTAACTGTTTAACACTTTGTAGCATTTGAGAATTTCCTAATAATATGCCCAAATATCCATATTTATAAAATATAAATATTGTTAACAAAACAGTTATAATTCTTGCTACAAGGTCCTATGCAAACTTCAAATACCATCATTGTTCATAGCAGTAGAATAATCTCCAAAATTGCTTTTTAAGAGATTCTTCTGAAGTTTATGCATAAATTAGTTAAGATCCCTCTTGTATGATTTCTGAAATATTTGAAAGTACAACGGACCAAAACCTGGAGGACTTTCCTGTGAAGAGTTAGAAGTTTTAGGTTTGTAATGGCCTCCTATGCTCCTCACTTCTTCCATTTCTGTACTGTGTATCATAGTATGTTAAGACTGGAAGGCAAAAAGGTTCATAGCAGTATGTATATATCCTGATGCAGGCAGCAGTAGTGAGTTGCTTTTTAAGGGGCTTTGTCTAGTAATATTATCACAGAAATAAAAGCAAAGTTAGGCCAGATGGGACTTCCAGTGGTGACCCAAATTGTTCATTAGTCACAAGGCAAAATCAGCTTGTACATCTGTCATTCCTGACAGATATTTCTCTGCATATTCTTCAAATTTTTCCAATGATGAAGACTGAAATGCCTCTCTATGGATATCAGGAAAAGGTTCTTCATCAGAGGGTGGTCAGGCCCTGGAACAGGCTCCCCAGGGCAGTGGTCACAGCACTGAGCTTGCCAGAATTGAATAAGCACCTGGACAACATCCTCAGACATACGTTCTGATTTTTGGGTGGGGCTATGTGGAGCCAGGAGTTGGATTTGATAATTCTTATGGGTCCCTTCCAACTTAAGGTATTTTACAATTCTATGATAATCTAATGTCCTACGTGGCTGAAAGTTTTGTATTACCTTGACAGTAATATTTCTTACTGTGCAACACTTCCTTTGCTCTACACTGTGGGCAGTAAGAAGACATTTATGCCTGTACTCAGTTTTTTATGTATTTTCCCCTTTCTCCTGTGTAGTCTTTGTCGTATTTTTCCTCACAGACTCTATTTTGTAGACTTCTGATAATTGTTGCTGTTGTCTTCTCTGTGTTGCTCATTTTAGATCATAGGTTCTAACAAAAATTCTGAGAAGTGCATGTTTTCAAACACTAAATTAATGCTGTAGATATTCTCACCTCTGTGATAACCGTCTATTCACACAGGTAGATTTTAGCAAGTCTGTGGACTGAGTTAGGCAAACCATAGTGCACTGCAAATGCGGAGCACAAGCCCAAGAAAATCTCTCCATAATGACTGATTGGCATCAGCCTTTTGCTTGGAAATAGAATTATGTTGATAACAGGAAAATTATCTGCTTCTGCTGAGTTGAGTTGATCTCTTGAGCTGAATGTAAGAACGTGTCTGTTGCGCTGTTGACTGGAACATGGATGCTGTAAGATCTCAAGAAACAAATACAGGGAATATAAAATAAGTTCTTAGCAAAAAAAAAGGCTGCTACTGTCTAAGAGTACCATTTCTCTGGAGCTTTCTATATTAAACGGATGAAAACTAAAAGCACAAAAGCAGGAATTGTTTTTATTCTCTTTCTTTATATGTGTTTGAAGTTATTTCTTGGTTGGTTTTTTTTTTTTCTCTCCAGGACATTTGAAATGGACCAAAGCTGAGGATATTGACATAGAAACACCAGGATCTATTCTAGTGAACACCAACCTGAGGGCTTTAATAAATAAACACACCTTTGCTTCTTTACCTCAGCACTTTCAACAATACCTCCTGCTTTTGCTTCCAGAAGTAGACAGACAAGTAAGTAGAAACATGCAATATTTCTTTCTGTACTTATTGAGACTTTTTTTTTAACAGTGTGTTTTCATTTTCTGACTTGACTGACTAGGAGTGGTTTTAGAGAAGACTAAGAAGAATATTTCCATAGTTTTATTAGGTAAAACTTTTGTATGCAGAATGAGTGTAAAGTCTACCTCAACACTGACCAGGTTCTGCAGATCTTCTGAGCTCAGATTTCTTAATTAGCTTTTTTATCTATAGTGTTGAAGATAAACTTGTCCACTTCAAGACTTTATTAGGACGGTCTGTTTTCATCTCTGATCTTCTATTGTGGCAGCAATGCCCTTCTTGTTTTCTCCTCTTCTGCTTTTACACATGCTTACATATATGCCTACTCTATTCAGGTGCTCTGGAGTTCATTCATACATATGTTTGTAAGAAACATCTTGTCCAACCTCACAGCTGTAGGCTTACAGTGGTTATTAATCACTTGTCGAAGTTGAAGGATTTGAGGAGTAAAAACATGGAAACAAAACACAACTTTGTGTGGTTTCCTACAATGTTTAGTCCTTTGTGCATTTGTTATTTAGATTGCAGACTTCTTAGAGCAAGAAGAAATCTTCACAGCATGTCTAGCTGTTAAACAGGTCCAACACCAATTTCATTTACACACTTGTGTGACTTCCAGAGGTGAACAGTTGCTGATCACAGTGGGGGCTACTAATGGACTTATTCAGACACATTCCTAAGCAACTTAACCAATTAGGGCTTTGAATTTTTTTGCAGACGGCCAGTATCTCACATCTTATTTATAAACCAGAAGATGCACAACTCTTAAATAACTGATTAAAACCTGAATCTTAAATCAGTATGTTAAATTCCATGGATTCATTTCTTAAGCTCTTACTAAGTAGTTTCTACCACCCTAACACAGGGGAAAGCAGTACAGTATGATGTAAAAAGGGAAAATAAAAATTGTATTGATGTGCATTAATTCAACCTCTTACCAAATTAGTTACTGTATACTATGGACTAAAGTAATGCACTTTGATATTTGAAAGATAACATTATAAAGCAGAGTCACAGGCAAAACAATATGAATTTATTTATTCTTGAGCTTCCACAAGGCAGGCAGCCAAAACCAGTATTGACAAATTTTAAGAATGTTTCTCCCTGCCATAAAACAGATTTTAGTTTTGTGCCCAGCAAACATTTTACTGAGAGTTTAGAATTGTTTTTTCTTTCTAGTAATTTGCCAGTAAGGTTGCATGTATTTGTATGTGTAAATATATGTGTGTGTGTGTCTGTGTTTATCTGCTAGGTAAAATCTTATCTTTTCTCCAACCATCACAGATCCTAGTGTTTATACATTGCATTACAAGTACAATGGCTTTACTTATAACTTTCTTACTTTAATTTTTTTTAAAAAACCTGGAAGCTCTAGAACTGACGTGTCATTTCCCTTCTTAATATATTTTTCACAGCTGAGATTTTGGCAAGAAAATCACGAGGATGAATTTAATCATACTCACTATTTAAAAGTAACGCATTTCCTTTTAGTCAGCATTTCAGAAAATGTTCATATAATGTATAGATTACAAATGCTATTTCAAAGGTCCAGCACTATATCACTGAACACTATTGCTTCCCAAGATAATTCATCACAAAAAATCAGCAAAAAAGAGTTGAGACATTTACAAATGTCCTATCTTTGTTCTTCTCATAGCATTCAGTGGAGTTGTACAGAATACCGTGTTTTAACATGCATTTGGAAGGCCGAGGTCTTCATTCATCTCTTGAGGATTAATGAAAATGTTTGGCCTCCAGTTGTGATAGTCTGAGGATTCTTACCTGCTGGAGAGTAAAGCAGCAGTGTTCTGTACTGAGTTCTTACTTAGCAGAGAGAGTTGCATTTGAGAATGTCTCGTATTCTATACCTAAAGAGCAGCATTCTAGATACGGACTGATGAAACCAATTGAACTGATGTGCTTTTCATTCCCGTGGCAAATGGCAAACACCAGTGCAGAGCTCAAGGATCAAGTGAGGGTGAGAGTGAATTCCACTCTTCCATCAGGAAGTTCTGGTGAGAGCCTCTGATGTTAGTTGCTCTTACTGAGAATGGCAGGGTCTTTCACTCTTCTTCCTTTATTTCTGCTTTCTAAATCGAATGGGACATCAGTCAAGAAAAAGTGGAGTAAAACTATTCTTTGACTCAATGGCCTGTCTGTGAGCATTGATTTAGTTGTTTTGTGCTGTCCTTTTCTTGTGAGCATTGCTACTTCTGCGTTTCTGGCTCTGATGGTTTTCCTTTCTGTGTGCTGCTCTACATTTGCTGGCTGTTCTCCTCCCCAGAAGTAGCTGCATTTCTATGTTGTCATGTGAATATAGTATATAAAGTACTGTAATGAATGGTACAATGAAGATGTAATAGAGTTATCCTATTTGTGTATATATAGTGATCTGTGAAATAAATTACTAATGAAGTGCAGTCTCATTTAAGCTTTATTACTGTTCCACACAGAAAAGTCCTGTGATGAATGAGCTTTTGTCATTTCTGTCATAAACACCATTTTTCTGGGTGGTATAACTCCTCCTCCTTAAATCATACTGAGCTGAAACTTGTCATGCATATGTCAGTTTGAATAAGCATTTTTAGAAACCATTTGTTAAGGGAGCTGAGGTTTCCTTTTTCTGTATGTGTAAGTGTTAATTATAAATAAATAATATCTCTCTTAACCCCAGTTAGTCTAATATGTTCAAAAAAAGTTTGGGGCCAAATCAGAAACTTCACAGGAAGTTTCTTCTGTTTTTTCTTTTGCTTCCAAGTTTTGCAGAAGAGTCTTGGAAGCCCTTTATGGCTACATGGAGCAGGGAGTTTTAGGAAAGTTATGCCAGAATGGAAAGAGTGTAAGAACAACTGTGCAGATGTTGACCATTAGTTATTCACATTAGAAATTGATTTCAGTTTCTATATTACTTTAAATTTTATTTCAATAGCAATGAGGTCTGTGTATAATTCTCTCTATTCAAAATGCCTTTGAGAAAAATTCAGCATGTTGGCAGCAAGGTTTCACCAAAGATTTTATCTGCTTTCATTTGGGTTCTGAGTGAAGTAATATGAGGACATTGTTCACAGAAGCAGCCATGAGCAGACATGTCTGATTAGTAGGCTGTTCCAAATTTTGTATCTTTAGATACTGAAAACAACATGTCTGCAACTTAGACATCCAAGTATTTAGATCTTTGTCAACCTAAATAGTCTCAAGAGCTCAAAAACCTTAAAATTCAGCTGATACAGGAGCCTGTTGGGGGATTCATTATGAGATCTAGATGGCTGAGTTGTCAATAATAAAACACGTAAGTATAGCAAAGTCTTTGCATAAAGGATTTCAATTATAATCCCAGCAAATAATTTTTCTATTCAGCTCTAATTTGAACACCCTGCAAGTGAAAAACAATGAAATTTTCATCAGATAAATACTTTTATTATTAATAAATCAATCTGATAATTATATATAATAAATGACTTTCTGATCACCTCTCAGCAAACTTTGAAGTTTATTTGTATCTAGATTGCTTTATTACGTCAGCATCTCTACATATTAGTTAACTCTTAACTATGAATGATAACAAATCTCTGGCAGGTTGCTGAAAAGTAATGACAGCTAGCAATATCTTGTCTACACTAGCTTCCCATGTTGCTGCTACTGGAGAGTCAAGTTCCTACTCTTAACTCTGGGGTATGAGTAAATGGAAGGCAAATAGTCACATTTATTAAGCTATCAAGAGAAGTACTGCCCCATCTGAACAGTAGCAGAAAGCTTAAGTGATTTTGCTTATCCATAGGGAGCTACACAAAATGTTCCTTCCTGATGGCTCTGAAAAAATGTATCATCCAAGGTCTGTAAGTACTTAACTAATTCTGGTCTTCCAGGATTTAAGCCCCTATCCTTTATTTTCTCTGCTGGTAACACTGAGTTCTCCTGAGCTTCTTACAGTTAGTATCTGCCCTACGCGTTCACACAGGATGGGAATTTACTCTTGCAAAACAATCACCAGGATCTCAAAGCCTCTTCAGATGTGTGTATTAATTTATAATGCCATACCAGACTAAACTTATTAATCAAGAGCATTTAAGACAATAGAAGTTACCCTAGCAAAATTTCTATCTTGTCTTTGTTTTATGAAACAAATTAGACATTCGCTAATTTTTCTTTTTTAAATCATTCTACAACTTACAGATAGACAAGGTAGTTATTTAAATGCAGAACTCTAAATTTAACTGTTCTTTGAGAAAAGCCTCGTACGTTGAAGTGCTCAAGGAAAGTTGGATTGGGCTTTGAGCAACCTGGGCTACTGGAAGGTGTTCCTGCCCATGGTGGGAGGGTTGGAACAGGCTGATCTTTAAGGTCCTGTCCAACCCAAACTGTTCTATGGTTCTACAAAGTACTTAGGCTGTGTAATATTGCCCAAATGCGTTTGAGTTATTTCAGGTTAATAGTAAGCCAATCCACTAAACAGAAAAACACAACTTACAAATCAGAAGATGTTAAAATGGGTCAAAACACACTGTAATCTCTTTGTTTCCAAATTAGTGAACTTCTAAATAATGACAGTCTCTTGGCTCAGTGCCATTATAGCATCTTGTTGTGTCACGTTCAGCTCAAGTTCTGTGTTCCTCTCTTCACCTGCTCAATATAAGTTGATGCTGTCACTTCCAAGTTGATTATGTCACCTTGCAGAGGTTCCTTCTCACTTTGCATTGAAAAAATGGACATGTCAATGTCAACTAGTGGTTTTCTTTGTCCTATTTAAAATAGTTAGAAGTAATTAGGGGGAAAGTTTTACATAGCATTCCATTTCAAAACCTCTTTGCTCTTGTATAGGTTGAATCAGCGTAATATCATTCAAACAACAATAACATTGTACCCCAAAATGCTGCTACTCCCAAGCACGTCAGTGAGTTCTGCACGGGGGAGGAATAAATACTGTAGAAAAATTCATACACTTCTAGAAGACA